ACTGTAATTCTGTTTCAAAACACTTCGAAGTCTCCGGGTTGTTGAGCAATTTAGAAGTGTTTAGTGTGTTGGCTGATTCTAAAATACGTAGAAAAAAAACTGGCTTAAAAAGCGTTTAGAACTCAGATTGTTTCTAATCTTTTCACTGTATAATTTTTTTAGAAGTATAAGCGAGCGTATTTTGGTACTGCTTGAGTTATGATATTAGGTTTCATAAGTGTTTTAGTATTTAGCTGACGAGGAAATAAATTTCGTAGAAGATATATATTTATTAACAGGAAGACGCAAATCGCCTTGATCCACTTGAGAAAACGCTCAGCGTTCGCACATTTCCCGTGGGTTGGTTTTATTGTATAACCTGCTTTTATAATCTGAATAAGAACAACATTTTGGCATGACTTATGTTGTGTTGGTAGCTTATAGCATATTCAAATATTTCAAGACGTTCCCCCTGCTCGGTTGGCACTAAGTTGTCATACTTAGGCGGCATGTAAACATCTTTCATAGGCCTGCTTTTGTTCGAAGCTGTGGGGCCCCGCGTAATCACGGACTAAAACTTCAACTTCAACGCGCACTTTCTGCCTTCAGATTTATTAGGAGGGAGTAACACAACCACAAAAAAGATATGAACCAAGTGATGATACTCTTTAGGCGCAGTTTGATTTACTCCTCGTCTCCTAGCTTTTGCTATGCTACGACCCATAATGAGACAGGCATAGCAATGCTTCTTGTTCTATGTCATAACCATCTTAATGACTTCCATGTTAGGCGGTGTCGGTTCTTCCACTAATGTAAGGCTTTTCGACCTTGCAGGAATCGGCTTGAGACTTTCAAAAGTAGTTCAGATTATGCATGCGGCGCCACCTAATATCAGTGGTGTATTTTGATTAGTTCTCGATTTTACCAATTTTACGTTCAGAAGTAAATTACACATTTTATTTTTATTTTATAATTTGATTGGAGTAGATATTATGTTTTACTCACATGTTCGACAACAACACCACAAGCCACGTAGGCGAAGAGGCAGCACAGAAGGACCTAGAAGGATTAACGCATTATTATTTCTCTGATTATGAGAGAGAAATCACAGGTTTTTCATCTGAACTCATTATAATGTCTATTGAAGAAAGTGTTTCTTACCTTAGAGAACATGATGGATTCTTTTCTTCTTGCGTAGAAGTGGATCTGATGGTTTTCTTGGAATATACGATGGCTTATATACCCTACGGTTTAAATTTCAGATGGTCATAACGGAGAGGCTGTAAACATCACGAACCAATCCCAGCTGTAAAGAGGCATCAATATTGATAATATTTGACCGTCGGTGCACGTAAATTCCTTGGGAGGAAAGGAATGCGAAAGTTTTTCTTTGCACGTTTGGATTAGTACAAGTTACACTTAAAAATAGGACTGAAACTGCACTGCTACAGCGGGAAAACCGGTATTTTGCCACTTTATTCAATGCCCATCCCATCTTTGCAAATTCTAAGCTTGATACGGAACCCGCTCAATATTTGCGGTAAGTTATATTTGGCGTAAAAGTTTTTTTAAACTTTTACATTATATTTTATTGCAAGAAATATTGTCCATCCAAAACAGAAACTCGAGCTTAACCGATAATGTTTGTATTTGCCCCGAAGAGAAACTACCGGTGCATTTATAAAAACAATGTTTTTATATAGTTACGTGCTATTCAAGTAGGAAAGTCTTCTAACAAATAGCGGTTATAGTTCAATTTGCTCCAGTGTTCACATAGCTTAGGCGAAAAAATTCAATGTTTCTTTGCTAATCATTTCAGTACCCCGCGTTTGATGCTAAGCGTGGAAGTGTACATTTTTACGTGATAAAAACATTTTATAAACGTCACAGTATGAATGTTCTTACGCCAACATATATTTCTTTCTTGTTTTATTTGTAATATATATTTAAAACGATGACAGAGCATGCGCCGCAACATATTTAAAGGTATAGCAAGAATTAGTAGAAATTGGATGTCCCTAACAGTGGTCCGAAGACTGCAACATATTTATTTTTGCATAAATAAAAAGAAACCCAGTAAGGAAAAAGAAGCAAGAAGCACGCCAACTTTAATGCTAAAAAATGGTATGTTTTAAAGTAGTTGAGATATAATAGGCGATATTGTATATTGCAGGCTTCTATTTTATTACTTTTATTACTACCCTAGTACCGTTTATTCTGGAAGATCATTAAGTTGTTCATCTGTAGAATTAATATGACACAATGATAACATATTGTATCATGTTCATTTAACATATTTAGACTAATTTATTATTTCTACAATTTCGATTCTCAAGAACGAAGTTCTTGAGAATCGAACAGTTTCCTCTTGGTAACCATCATCCTTCATCAATCGTAAGGAAATTCACAAACCAACGTGCTGTGAAAAGCTTGCATGCAGACTGTACACGGGACATAGGACATTATCGTTTCAGTATGCTGTATAAACACAGTCTGCACCTTGTGTAGGTTTCGGCGTTTTCGGGATAGTACCGCCATGGTAGAAGTAGCACTTTGTCCAGGATTTTTGTTTCAGTGTGCATTTCAGAAAATGCACACTGAAATACAGTTAACGTTATTTTAGAGTAAAATTACATGTCGATTTAAAAAAGTGTACTTGTATTTTGTGAAGGTATATTTTTCACTAGAAGACTATCAAAACGTAGGAAAATGTATTGAACCGGTGAGTGTGCAAGTGAGGTATAATAATTTTGTATCTTCTTTGGTTGAAATCTGCAAGTCAACAGATTGATACTTATTTGGTGAAAAAAAAACAGCGTGGTAAATAAATAAACCATTCTCATCACATGAAGGAAATCACACTTGTAACAGCTAGAATATTTCACGCAAGATAACAATGCAGTACAGAAGTGATTTCAAAATATTTGTCTATAGATTTTTTAGGTGAAACATATACGCTAAATATATCAAAACGTAATACTAGCAATTAGACGAAGAAAAAAACAACTAAAATGACAGTTCCATGTGGCATACAGGTCCAAATAATAAGTAACAACTCTAAACGAAAGGAGTGGTTTCTTGCAACCTCCTGAATTTGGATGGTTAGTAAAAAAAACTAAGTTAAACTCATTACATTTTTGCGTTTTTCTCAGATTAGATTAATTATAACTGCAGTTTCGCGTAAAATGTTGAACTGGATTGATGGTTACCAAATGAACATCGCCACTGCGATTTAAATTTAGTTTTACTTTAAAATGACTATGCATAGCCAGACATTACAGAGTAAGCTACCATTATGAGCAACGATAAATTGCTGTGAAAGCCCAGAACATATCCGAATAGGAGCTCATGCGCGCTGATGCGGTAATACAAAGAGCATTGCAAATCAGCGAAAAGTTTTTTTTTCTATTGATCATAAAAGAAAAAAAAACAAGAGTTATAGTAAAAGGTGATAATATGTATGATATGGTTGTCGCACTAGATGAATTGTCTGTTTTATGGTATTTTGTTCATAGCTCAGACCCATTAAGGCTATGGTGATGATTGATGACTATAAGATCAAAACGTTAAGAAAACTTCAATCTCAGTAATGCAATTTTATCATGCAATTAAGTTATGTTTAGTAACAGTTTTTTTATATGCACAAAAATATCCGTACACATAAGACACTAGGCGATGGACTAGAAATCCATTGGAGTCTCCCCGCACAGGTTCGGATCCTGTCGACTGCGCAAAATGTTTTTATTTTTTTTAAGAAGACAGATGGGATGGCAATCGATGTGATAACGGACGCCCGACGGACAAGGCTAGACCCTGAGGAGCTTCGCCCCTAAAAATTCAAATGGTACCTTTTTCTAAGTGTTTTTATCGCGTCAAAGTATAGAATAAAACTTCATATTTGACATTAAACGTCAATCAATTTTGTTACGAAGGGTTCAACAAATATTAAAAAGGAAGTGCTACAACACAAAAGCTGGTGTATTGTTAAGGGCTGGGGACGGGGAGACTGGAGACCGGGTTTGCGCTATTAGATGGCTATGTTTTAATGAAACATAAGATGATGCTGGCGTTCGATGGTAGGTCCCATTCCGTCTCCGCAGCGCGTGTCCGCGGGTCCCCCTTTTCTAGCCGCGGTGAAATGACGGTGTTGCGTCACCGACGGTATCCTGGTGTGATTGGTGGTGGCTGCTGTCTTTGATGAAGATGAGGTCCAAAAGCCACTCTGATTGGTCCGGAGCTTTATGTTGCCGCAGCCGCAGCTTTCTTGATGTTGGAGAAAAAGGAATACGAAGCCCCGTCAATATTGGTTACTTCAGTTGATTTTCTAAAGCCTTGGTTCCGGGTCTTCGAGAGGGTGTCTGCCGAGCGACGGTGTTGCGGACCGTCGCTGTAAGTGTGCCTCAGATGCTGCACGGCCTTGCCGGGGTTTGGAACGCAACAGTACTTAAACGATTAGCACCGAAAAACTGAATTATTTCGTCTTAAGCATTTGAACATTCGAGCAAGCTAAACTAATACCGGAGTATGTTAGAGGTACATCCTCTACCAGTAACACATAACAATAAAATATATATTTGTTTAATGTACAGGTGATTTCTCTTCAGGTCAACTACAAATATTATTAGTTAAACTCGAGTTTCGTATTTTGGATGCATAATATTCGTTGCAATGAAAGTTCCACAAAAATGTTAAGCCAAATATAACTTTCCGCAAACATTGCGAGGGGTCCGTATCAAGCTTAGAATTTGCAAAGATGGGATGGGCATTGAATAAAGTGGCAAAAATACCGGTTTTCCCGCTGTAGCAGTGCAGTTTCAGTCCTATTTTTGAGTGTAACTTGAGGTAAACCAAACGCGCAAAGAAAACCTTTGCATTCCTTTCCTCCCAAGCAATTTACGCTCACCGAGGGTCAGATATTATCAATGTAGCTTTCTCTTTCCAGCTGGGATTGGTTCGTGATGTCTACAGCCTCTCCGTTAAGACTGTCTGAAATTTAAACCGTAGGGTATATAAACCGTCATATGTTCCCGAAAAACCACCAGATCGACTTCCACGAAAGAGGAAAAGAATCCATCATGTTCTCTAAGGTAAGAAACAATTACTTCAATGGACATTATATTAAGTTCAGATGAAAAACCTGTGATTTCTCGTTTATAGTGAAATAAATAACAATGCGTTAATCTTTCTAGGCTCTTGTGTGCTGCTTCTTCGCCTACGTGGCCTGCGGTGTTGTTGTTGAACATGTGAGTAAAACATTACATCTACTCTAATCAAAACGGAATTGCAAGTAAAATGTATATGTGACATTTGAACAGAAAATTGAGAAATAATTAAAATGCGCCACTGAAATTACATGGCGCCGCCTGCATAGTATGGAATCCTTTAGAAAGTCACAAGCCGATTGTTAGAAGGTCTAAAAACTTCACAATGGTGGAAGAAGCGACACCACCTAACATGCATGTTGTTAAGTAAGATGGCTATGAAATATAATAAGAAGTATTACGCTGGCCTGTTTCATCATATGTCATAGCGTAGTTATAGCTAAGAGCAGATGAGTTAATCAAACAGCGGCTGAAGATTTTCGTCCATTAGCCCGACAGTTCTTTCTGGTTGTGTTATTCCCTCCTAAATCAAACTGAAGGCTAAAAATGCGAAGCGATGTTGCAGTTTAGCTCGTGATGATGCAGGGGTCCCCTCAACTTCCAACAGAAGGCATAACCCCCCAAAGATATTTATATACCGCTGTACTATGACCAATTTTTGGCACCAAAACAAGAAGAACGTTTTGAAATATCGTTATATGATATAATCTACGAAGACTCAAGGTGATGTCAAAATGTTATTTTTATTTGGAAGAATAAAATAAGACGCTCTACAACGACCCCACGAATATGTTGAGCGTCTTTTCAATCGGATCAAGGCCCGCTGCGCCTTCATCTAAATAAATTTATATATTCTCATATATTTATTTCCACGTTGACAGTGGAAAGAGTTAGTTTCACAAGAACTTGTGAAACTAATTTTATAACCAGAGGATTGATGCAATGAAAATATTAAAAAAACGATGTGAGCCCTAAACTTTTTTTGTTTCAGTTTGTTCTCCAGTTGGTTTAAAATCAACCACACAAAATATATTCATATAACCGCTCAACAACCCAGAGTATTCAAAGTGTTGACACAGAATTATAATTTCTCAGTAGGGTGTCAAATGTACACAAACAGCGTAAGCTATTCCGCGATCAATAAAAGGATATCTTTATTTCTTTTATCGCAGCCACCCCAGCCATACAACTTCGGCTACGACAACGTCGATGGATTCGGCACTCGCATGACCCGTCAGGAGACTGGCGATGCCTTCAACAACAAGGTCGGCTCCTACAGCTACGTCGATGCCTTCGGTGTCACCCGTGTGGTGAAGTACGTCGCTGACGCCACCGGTTTCCACCCAACCGTGGAGACCAACGAGCCAGGCACCAAAACTTCCGTCCCAGCCGACGCTCCTTTCTTCTCGTCCGCTGTCGAGGGCCCCCACCCGGTCGTCGTCAAGGCTGTCCACCCAGCCCCAGTTGCCGTTCGCTCTGTCTATGCCGCCCCAGTGGCTGTGCGCTCTACCCTTGGCGCCCCAGTGGTTCACTCTGCCCCTTTCCCCTACGCTCACCATGCTCCTCTCAGCTACGCCGTTGCCAAGCATTTCTAAGTAACGAATAAATTATCTGTCTGTCATTCACTGAATTTGAACATTGAGCATCCTTTCTCGGTCTCATTCCAGCTCGCAGGATATGTGACCAAGCTATGACTTTTTTTTTTCTCAAGCATTATCTGGCAGTTAGCTGACGTCCGAGGTAGTACATTTACTTTTTTTATGTGGGCTAATTTTAGTAAAACATAATCTAATCACAGCTGGTTAGCTTAAAATTACGTGTTTATAGAGCAATTTGTTACACTACAAAAAAATTGAAATATTTGAATTATCATGTAACTATGATGTAAAGGACACTGGTTTCACACTTATGACTTAAATCAAACGTTTCTCTTAAAGAAATATCTCGACAAATATATCTGTATTCTCCGAATTGGCGATACTGATTTATATCGTTTGATTTTTTTTCATGTGATTTTATAATGCAGTAAAATCAAAGATTCATAGAGCAAGAAATGTTCTTGTTACGCTGAACATCTGCGCAAAGACGTTCTGTTCTTATCAAATTGTAACGTTCTGCGGTCGTTTTACCTTCCACATCGTTCATAATCTCTATAATCTCCTCTTGCAAGCAAAACGAAATTCGAAGAAGGAAAACTAGAAACATGTTGGTGCGCGCGCGCACACACACGCGCACACACACGTACCCACGCAGAGGGGCAGGGAGAGAAAGAGTGAAAAAGACAAACCTTGGCACGGAGAGACACAGAGGGTCAGATTGAATTATGCGCCTAGAGTTGACCACACATGTACACGCTACCCCAAAAAGTAACTAAATACCGTTATCTGAAAGAAGAGTTAGGGCACAGGCGGGATATTGAATATTAAACAACGTAATAAAACCGGAGACACGGAAAACAAGAAGGATACACACAACACCGTCTAAGACAAAGGTAAAACGTTTTAGTGACAGCACCCTCTCTTTATAGCAAACAATCTTCAGCCGACGCGAAAGTGGAAAAACAGCCAATGCTAGTATCAGCAAATTGGGAACCATACATCACCGATATCTAACCGTTTGAACCTACGAAGCAAACCATAACAAAATCTGAAAACTACAACAGCGAAAACGTGCGCACTTATATATCAAGAACCACTGAAGGAACACTAACATAATTCCCTGCTGACGTAATCCTAAATCTTTCCTTCATAACACGTTTAAACGAATCCAATGCTTTGCAAACTGTCTGTGTCAATTTCCGCTTTAGAACGCAATTGTTACACTCATCTAGACGCTTGACTATTTGAAAGTTGGTGACTTTAATAGCAGTGCCCTTTTGTGCTCTTAGACCCTTTCATTAACACAACGGCCAGTCTGCCCAACGAAAGAAAAGCCACACGCAGCAGGAATTTCATAGACGACAACGTGTTTGTTGTGCTATGGTCGGATCTCTGTGCTTCATTCCACAGTCTTCATGTACTCCCAAGAAGGAAGTGAACCGACTCAGGAGAAAGTCTTTGCGTTAGTCGTTCCTTTTTTTTTAAGTAACTAAATCGAAACATTAACTAGATAGAAGTAACTCGTTACTAGTAACGCGTTACGTCATGCCTGAGGTTGGCCTTAATCCGCCAGTATAGCCGTTTTACTCAACATGATATTTCCGCCTGCTTTATGAGACTGCTTTATAAGGCCTTGCACACTTTAAAACAAAACAAACCAATGCCGCGGTGCCAATTTGTATCTGTGCTCAATATCTATGGCACTACGGGTTATATATTTGATAAGAGTAAAACCAATTTTTGTTTTATAAAATAATCCTGATTTGCTTAATCTCTAAAATATAAATGTTGTCCACCCTGGTTATCGCTTGCCATATTCGTTATCCAACCTGTATTCCATCGTACCACGCTCCAGTCGCGTGATTCGACCAATTGGCTCAAACGGCCGCCTCCACGTTGCACGTTTTCCAAGCACCCTCAGCTGCACACCATCTTCACAATTCAATATCACAGTCTAAATCAGCTAACCCTTCTAAGACCAAAGCTCTCCGGCATCGTCGGACCCTGGCCTACGGAGTCAACGGCCTTTAAGCTGGGCTCCCTCCCCAAAAAACCTGCACAAAATAAAAACAAAATCATCTGCAAATTCGTTTACTATGTCTATGACACAGGCGAAGAGGCTCATTATTCACCCTCTCAGGCCATCTTGGAGGCCTTGACGCCACCGAAGACATTTCCACTGCTCTGTAATTTCTGGCCCTTTAATAAACATTTTATAAATTATTAAATACGAAATATTCTAAATCTAAGGATAGATCTAAAATAAAAATCCCAATCAAGCTTATCGAGTAGAGACATCCAAACTCTTTTATATCTTTTTTTCTCTCTATTAAATAATCTATATTACGTTTCAGTTAAAAATCCGACCTCAAAGCTCGTTCACATAGTGACGTTTGACTGCTTTTCACTTCGTTAAGACTGCTCGCGCTGAGTCGTTGTTATGGTGACCCTTATGACGAGCCCATGGGGAGACGCTGAGCTGCATGACGCAACGCAGCGCAACGCGAATTAGCCTTTAGCCGACGCAACCTTTCGAGTCAGTGAAGCTGCGCCAAATGCATAATCACGGCGCCGGTCGCCTTTGTGCGTGGGCTGTCCCCGACTGTCAATGCCGTGAAGAGGTTTTGTGGCACTCAGATGTACGATTGAAAAGCCCTAATATGCTAGCCGCAGACGGTTTCCCCCCCAAAAAAAACAACAAATTCGCCTATTTTGCATCCTTTTCAATCGTAAAACAGAGTGCCACAAAACTTATGCAAGTCATTGATAGTTTGGTTCTTTTCGTCCTGATTTGTCTGACTTTGCTTTTCCTTCCGAATGAAAAAAATGTGATCGTGGAATCAGCAAACAAGCCCACTCACGGAATTTTTCTTAGCAGATTGTAGTTTAATGTCATTAAACAATAAAATAAGATCTTACTAAACACGGCTATTGACTCCCAGAAACCTCGTAACCAATGAAGGCTTAGCTGTTTGTTTAATGGTATGAAATTTGGGCACTTTGGCGTCTCAGCATGGAAACGTAGATGTTTGTGAGTTTATTATTCTCTAGAATAAATAAAAAATAAAGTAAAAATATAAACTTTTGAAATAATCTGTCTATAATTTTTTTCCAGTTACACGTCCGACGCCATAGAGACATGCAGATAACACTTGCCACGAGGGTGCTTTGTGAAATAAAGTGTTCACCACCCGGTATGTTCAATATGGTACGAGGTCTTTTTTACACCCCATAACATAAAACAATACCTTTTGTTGTAAATATTTTACAATTTGGTAGTATTGCGCAAGAGAGCTGAACCATGACCTATCGCCCCCATGAGGACTTGGTGTTTAATTCTTAACAGAGGTGGTCATCATCACGTTGAAAACATTTGGTCGATGAACCTATGGACTAAAACGTAAACGGTGAATGAATTCCAGTCCTTCCTCTCAGGGAACTATAGGGCTGTTTTACAAAACGCCTTGTCTTTTCTGACAAACCATGTGCCGGCATGTTGATGAACATAGTCCGCCATTTTCATCATTTGTTTACAGGCATACGCTTAGTTGTTGGCGTCGGTTTTGATGTTCAGAAAACCCGGAAGCACGACAACTGGCTCGGTCAACGACAACTAAGAAAGTACCCTCAGGGTCGTATCTTGACCGCATTTGGTCAAGCTTTTTCAGACTTGTATCCTTTCGGAGTTGTTCCGGCGGCATTGATAATGAGGCCTTCATGACCGCCGGGAGGTCGTCTTTTTAGTTTGGGCTCGTCTTAAGTCGAATAAAAGACCGGTGCTTATAAAAGTAAAGTACCAGTTAACGGTCCCATGTGTCACCTAAAACTCCAGGAAACGCAGTCAATCATGGTGCAGTAAAAGGAAGGAATCACGACGCTGTTCCAAAAAAGCAGCCTCCGTGCATAGAAAGAGATACAGAGCAAGGTTATAATTTCGAGCCGGTAGTGCGTCACGTGAAACCACTCCGTATGTAGATGCACAAGGACTTCGGGAGTCATTATAAAGGCACTTTGTAAAAGATGCATACAGGAAAATAATTCCGCGGCCTTTTTACAAAAGAAATAAAAATAAATATTGCATGTGTTGATATGATGTAGGTGCGTATCTTTCTTTAAAGAAAAACCGCTGAATATGTTATTGAAGACAAAATAACCACATGCGATGTTAGTAAAATGAATCGAAATCTTATCATAAAAAATATTCTTATCGGTTTTGTCGTTTTGAATTTTCAGATTTTCTTTATAAAGTATTATATATTCATCATAAAATATACGTCTTTAAGTTCATATTACTCTGCAACCATCGTTGCCATTGTTAAGCTCGAATCCTATTGAAAAATACATGTTCGCGTTGATAGCTTATTATATCTACAGCTTCATTTGTAACATCTTATGTAGCATCCAACATAATTTAGTAGAATAATTTTCAGTGAAACGAAGAACAGCAGGTGCAGACATCAACGTAAAGAAGATAAGCCAAAAATTGAGACTTAAAGCAAAAAGAAGAAAGCTGTTGCTGCTGCCGAGGCCGTTTGATACCTCCATCTTCCGCATTTCTTAAGCTCGTCTGAACACGTGAACAAGCATGAAACCCGCATTCCTTCGCTTTCCAGCATTTCACGTTCCACCACAATCAGATGCCATCAATTAGTTTTGGCAATGAATGATTGGCTGGTGAGATCGGCCACTCCTCTATAAGGCGCGTGAGGAATGCAAACGCAGGGTATATAAGCCGTCCCATATTTTCAGTTCACCACCAATTCCACTTTGCAACAAGCGGAAAAGAATTCACCATGTTCTCCAAGGTACGAAAACGGTATTTATTGTAGACATCCTCCTGTACTCAGATTCAGAGCCTCAATATAACGGTGCTATTGTTGTGTTTAGGTTCTCGTGTGCTGCCTGTTCGCCTACGTCGCCTGCGGCGTTGTTGTGGAACATGTAAGTATGCAGATTTCTTGCCTCACATTTTAAATGCAGTGCACCAATTTTGATACCTTTCAATATGGATAAGACAAATTAATATATTTGAAGCATATGCAAAGTGATTGTAATATTACGTAAACACAAGATAAGTAAACACGCACAATGTAAGTAAAATTTGAAAAGCCAGTCAAAAGCCATAGATTTCTGATCAAAGCACGAAACGGCGTGTTTATCAGCGATATAATGCAGTGGCAGCACACCTTCGCAAAAAATCGAGGGTTTGGTTGTCGATTGCCCTATACCCTGGGACAACTTTCTACATCACTTCAGAAGGGAGGAGTTAGCGCAACAAGGCGGTAAGTTGGTCGAGTTGGTTTGTTGGTTTGACACAGCGCTTTGTCCGTACACTTCTTTCGCTCGTCCTTCGCCAAATTTTTTGCGCTGTTTTCACGTTTGGAGTTAGTGTGTTCAGCTTTAATGGCCGCGGAAGCATGCAATACCATATCTTTACTGCATAGCCACAGAAGTTAGCATTCCAATATAGCACACTACAGCTCGGAGCACGTGGAGCGAACGATCACGCTGCAGGAACAAGGAATAACTATTGCGTATCGTTAAACTTTTTTCCGTCTTTATCTATATTTTGTGTAATTACTGCATGATTACATGATGCACTTTGAATACATTTGGTTAAGGTTCTTACGAAACTGGCTGTACGCCTCCGCAACGGCATGGAACCATTGGGCCATACCACGTGTAGACCTATCTTGCTCTCTCAAGGCAACTTGGCTAGTTTTTTTCATAACTTATCTCCTAATTGTTTAGGAAGGAACGGCAGTCTGTTTCTATTTGAAGGATGAGCTACGAAATTACTCGGAACAATAATAATACTACTATGTTTATTCAGACACGTTGAGCACCGAATGGCAGGGCACAAGGGATTTTACCTTACACAACCTCCCTCCCTCCCTCTCTCCTCCCTAAACCTCCAACATTCTTTGTATCTCTCTCAGGTGAAAAACGAGGTCCTTGTAAAAATAATCACATAAACCATTTTATTAATCAGTATAAAGCAACTCACAATTAGTAAAAAATAAAAGTATAAAAAAGAAAGAAAGTGAACATATTAAATAGCAACCTAATCTTAGCGTGTTTCACGGAAAGGTCAACATAGCAACTTGCGGGCCCAAACATCTCATTTCTGCTAGAAGATATATTGCTGCCTAGTGTAGATAATTTAAATGTAAACACGCAAATTAATTTTTCAGATCCCGTTTATGGAATGACGTTGTACTTTCTCACAAGAAGTAATTTAGACTCCACTTTTCCAGACGCTTGTTCATTTGCACTTTCCACCGCGAAAAGGAGCTTAAATTTTATGTGTGGCTCTTGCGTTTGAAGAGTTCATTATCATGTCGTTATGTTGAAGCCCGAACTTTCTAAACGAAACAACACCTGATAAGATTTACCAATAATTGGGGTCATGGAATCGACGGAAACCTAAAAACAATTAAGTATCTTCGCTTAGCTTCGCCGTAGGCTTCTCTGGCCTTCAATATTGTTTCAAATTAAATAACTAAACATAATTTTATGATCCCCAAGAGTTCTATCAATCCAAAGAAGGTCAGTTGAAAAATTTAATCAGTTCGCTCACATTACCACGAAACAATAACTCAGATTAATGCAGCATGAGTAACAAAAAATTGCCAACTGTTTATTGTAAGAGTATAAATGTAGAGCAAAATAACCTTCTATTTATACAACTAACCTTTCTTTTTAAGAAAACGATTCTTCGCAATCCTAAATACCGTCACACAAAATTGTGAAAACCCTCTTGATGCACTACAATAATCAAGAATTAGAACACGGGAAATGAAGACTTATACTTATGGTTCCCTTTCTTACATTGCAGCCACCACAGCCATACAGCTTTGGCTACGATAACGTGGACGAATTCGGCACCCGCATGACCCGCCAGGAGACCGGAGATGAGTTCAACAACAAGGTCGGCTCCTACAGCTACGTCGATGCCTTCGGTGTCAGCCGTGTTGTGAAGTACGTTGCCGACGCCACAGGCTTCCACCCCACTGTCGAGACCAACGAACCAGGCACCAAGACCTCGGTCCCAGCCGATGCTCCTTTCTTTTCTTCCGCTGTTGAGGGCCCACACCCAGTCGTCGTCAAGGCTGTCCACCCAGCCCCAGTGGCTGTGCGTGCTACCCTTGGCACCCCAGTGGTTCACGCTGCCCCTTTTACCTACGCCCACCACGCTCCCCTTGGCTACGCTGTTGCCAGGCCTTTTTAAATTATCAATAAATGATATGTCTGCCCTTTACTATCTTCAGGTTTGGTTGTGTTCCCTCACATGGCCCATTTTAAGACATCGAAAAGGTTACCTTCTTTGAAATTAAGTCAGGCTGCTGGTCACAGGTTGGGGATAAATGGTAAACATTGAGTTCTAGTTTCTTTATAAAACAATAAGGTAATTAAAAAAAACGAAATGTTATATTCGGACAGGTGAAATGCGATAGGCCAACGCCCGGTGTAAAGTCTGAAGATGAGAAAAAGACACGTAAAGGCATAAAAAAAAATCTAATAATGCATTGTACAACCGCGTACGGTGACGTTAACCATCCGGATGACAAAACGCTAGACAACGCTAAACTCGATATAAAAGTGAGCGAACCTTCGGGCACCACGGTCACGAAGAACAAGAGAACGCTCCAGAGTCAAAACACAGCAAAACAATCGCTCTCTTATAGCTCCAATACTTCCGGGAGCTATTGTTCGCCGGAGTGTGGCTAAAACAAAGGAAAATAAATTCCGAACTGCCCGACGACAAATCCAGAGGAAAATTTTAAGGCTCACCAAAGGTCCCGGTCCACGGATCAAGGCAGCCCTAGCATTGTCTGAGTCGCTGACTGGTTGATCGGCGGGCGTCGCAAAGCCGTGCACATACACACGCTCCCGAAATGGGAAACCAGACGCTCGAAATCAAAAGCACACCTGAAGGTAACCACACGCCACACAAGGTGAAGACGCCGAAAAAGCAAAAGTTGAAGATAACCCTCAAAATTCAAAAAGGTCCAAACTCTCCAGCCTTACGAGCGAGGTGTCAAAAAGAAAGCCGAACTGACCCGCCCCTCTCACTGTGTTTCTTCCCGCAGAAACTGTCCCTTATGTAGACCAGGGCGGCCCGGAATCATTGTAACATAAAGCGGCTTAACTAACGCTCCTAATGTGTCGCTCAAGCCTCCGAGCCAAGCACCCCCTGTCAAGGGTAAGGACATCGAGATACACTTCCTACGTATCTTGAACTATAGAAACAAACATAAAAAAGAACAGCCTCGACAAAGCTTTGTTTACAAATAATCCCCTCTGAAAACGAGTGGCCAAGCGGGCTTAAACTCGCTAACGATGTGGAAACCACGTGTTCCCCGCATCTCTATCTAGGACTAACTGAACCAGGCCGTGGGGCGTCAACATGTCGGGGCGCGTCCCGGACTCTAGGCGAGGTCACATTCCTTCGTGGACGGCTCTCCCTCGCCCTATCGGTGATTAACCTCAGACCAGACATGTACAAATTACTCAAAAAAGGTAGTTCAGTTAAGTTACTGAGTATCGACGCCAAAAGTAATTGGAGTAGAGTAGAAATTACGCATTTGTAATAGTAATTGAGTAAACTACTAACTACTGTAAAAAGTAGCGAGTTACTTTGAAGTTACTTTCGAAGTTACTTTTTTATATTTTTGTGGTAGCAAAATGAACAGCAGTTTTTGATCAATGAAAAACCCTGCGAGCCCAAAATAAATGCAGTCTATCTATGGCTTGCGTTTTCGCCAAAATAGTTTATTCGCTCGCAGAAGCAATTGACTTTCAAAGTTCTTGATAGGAGAGTTTTCCCCTTTTCCTTCTAAGGACGTCCCCAGCCAAGCTAAATAGACGTTCCACCGACGGGCTGGATGGAACGGCAGCGTTGAATTTGAGAAACAGGCTGTGCAGGGTCGGGTAAGCGAGTGTCGGCATCTTAGGTGTCCATGACTAAACATGTGAGGTTTGCCTCGGGTAGAGGAACTTTTATAACAAATTTTCCTCCTTTTCTCTTTTTTCTTCGTCAAGTTGAGATTGTTATGACTGGCTCTCTTTATTCCGACGTCGTTCTGAGAGTACGCTTAGCGAGTGCACCAGACCGTCAAGGATTCAAGTCTCGCGCCACGACGATGAGATCATCCGGACGACTGCGCGTCCCGTTGTAGTGCTAGTGCTACGCTACTGGAAAAAAAAATTGTTTTGGTTTAACAGATGATGAACCGAAGTATACTTCGCCGCTGACGCCGGGTCCAACAAAATGATCTCCCTAGGGTAACTCGCAATCCTCCCCGGCGACTACAATATTCTGATGCGCCTGACACGCCTGACAAGTAAATCGTTTTTAACAAAGAGGAGGTCGCCCAGGCATGGATGGTCGGAAGGACATGAAGGATTACGTGAACAAGCATCGTCGCTCGTATACAGTTGCAGCTGGAAGCGGGAACGTGCTCCCATGAAGGGATTATCCGTGCCAGGGTTTGTGCGCGGGGAGTCCGGCTTTGGAAAGGCATATGCGCTGACGACAACGCGACCATGGGAACAGGCGCCAGCTGCGAGGTCGTTCCAGTGGCGCCTACCGTGGAACCTGCCGCTTGAGTCAGAACTCAATAAAGACAGACAACACGAAAACAAGAACAACTCTTGGAGTGTCCTCGTCTTTCATGGTTGCAGCTGGAAATGCGGCGCCTGCGTGCATTACCGGATTAGGTCAATACCCGACCAAGGCTTGTTAAGCATCTCTTCCTGCGTTCGTGCGTGCCGGTGTTATGTTTTGGCTGCTCGTCGCCACCTTGGCCCAAGGACGCCTTCCCGTACAAGGGGGCCCCTTGTTCGGGAATGCCACTTTATCTGCCGGCGTATTCATTTCTGCGCTCAAACTTTCGTGATGGGCAAAATTAGCACTATATAATTTCGAAAGTAGTTAGTAATTTGAGTAGAAGTTACCTGAAAAAAGTAGTTAAATTAAACTACTAATTACCCAAATCAAGTTGTAATTGGAAGTTACCAAGTTGCTCGAAAAAGTAGTTAAACTACAGTAGTTTGAGTAGAGTAGTTGAACTACGTCCAAGTCTGCCTCAGACACATTTTTCGGAACCTTGATATTTGGTCGCGTCCGCCCTTCCGAGGACCGAGCCCGGAGGGACAGAAACCGGGAGGTGTCTGAATGACCGGTTACGAGAACATTACTTAACATAAACAGAGTGATCTCAAGTAACTTAGGCATTCATTGCCGGGAGCGTGGGTGCTCAGAAGGCTTAAGAAACTGCGCTGTTATTTCCAGAAGTGGCAATCAGCTGACACGAGAAATTATCGAAGCTGAAAAAATAGCCAGGTTGGACAAGCAATGCGTCAGGGCCATCTTTAGCTTTATCAAAGAAATAATTGGATTATCTCGAGATAACAATAAAGTACCAATAAAGGTGGGATTTTTTAAAAAAATCTTTTATGATTATTTTTAAGTTCAATTTAATTTTTTTAAGTTTATGTTCTCAAATTTTGTTTTTTTATTTTATATTTTTTATATCTTTATTTTAGTTGTCTATTTATTTATTTATTTATTTGTTATTTGCTTATTCATTTTTATTGGCTATTTGGTTTCTGGTGTTTAAAAATTTGAAATGTTCTCTTTTAAGGCGAAGGAGAAGAAGATGACGATTTGAGGAACAGGAAATATATCACCGCGAGTTGTTAGTCAGCGCTGCGAGTCTGTATCTTTCTCGTGAGCTATTGTTTGTGTCTGCATATCCGTGCTGTTATACATCCAAACATGTTACAGATACACGTGTTCCTTCCTTTACTTTAATATGTTTGTAAAATATAGTTCAGCTACAAAGGCGGAGCCGCGTCTTGCAAATAAAACCTGTTTGTCACTCCCCCGTGTCGTTTTGTGTAATAATACATTGACTTAGGGTGGTCGCCAAGTAATATGCTCAATAGGGTTTTATATTACAAAACTGCCACAAAAAGCTAACTTAAAAATATGCGGTGTAACCCAAAATCGGTTCATGCCTTTCAGATAGCAGTTTATGAAAATGTGCCTTACTTCTCTTAATCTAATATGTGTTCTGCTTCTGTAACGTCAAAACAAACACTACAAAAAAACAAAACAAAAAAACTTGCTATGCAGTTGGCTATGCAGTTGGCTATGGTAGCTTTCTTCTGTGTATGAACGTCTATACGAATATAAAAACGTGAAAGTGCATACTCTCGGGCGAGGCCGCAGTTTGGTTATCACTAAATATTAACTTCCTATAATTGGAATGTGATGCCAATAATAAAAACCGCTCCCTTATTACGTTAGATTCCAATAACATTTTAAATAAAAATACTAGTGTATTTTCTGTTGTACTACGGTTATACAAATGCGTAAATTTGTGTGACTTTTGGGTATATTTGTGCAATATTTTTGTTTTAATTCCTAAATATTTTTTTCTTTTTCCTTAAAATGCCTATCTTCTAAAATTTCCGCGAAAAACATTCAAAATATAAGACTACACTAATATAAATAGCTCTTGGCTTTTTCTTAGTCACACGGTTAATGAAGAAGGTTCATCCATCTATAAATTCGCTGAACCGAACCAGAGAAATTCTGCTCCGATATACGAAGAGATTTTGAGCAAATAACAACGTTAATATATTTTTTCCTAAAAACGCGCCGGGACATTTATAAAAACATTTTACATTCCAAGAATCACAAACCTCACATTGTATTTTGTGAAATACTTTCCCTGTTCCGATTTTACAGGCTTAGTTGATATCGTAAATACATTTTAGAGAGTTAAAACCCAACTTTTTATTGGGCGCGGTCACTCAATTGCGTGGTGGCAAATTATATTACGCTGAAAAAGAAAGCGCTGCATATATAATTTGGAGTTCAAACCCGTTTTATATTTTGTCTAATTTTTAAGTGAGAGTAGCTGCTTCACATTCTTGTTAGAAGCAATAAAAAAAAAACAATGATAAGGAAATCACAGCATGCGCTCATCTTCTTTCAGTAAGAAATATTTTGGCGTCCTAAACTGGAGTCAACAGCCATTTATCGAGGGAAATGAGAGAATATATTCAATGACAATCTTTGAGGAAGTCATGGCCAAATGTAACAAGGATAATTTTTTGACTTGTTATTTAGCAATGCAGATATTTATTTAGTAAAAGGACAGAGAAACTGACATTGTTAGAATGAAGAAGCTCTATTTAAATCTAATAAAGTTCAGCAAGCAACCAGGAAGCACGTATAACAAACAGGGCCAGACGTTTCTTAAAATGACGTCACTGTATAAATGTGAGTTTTGGGACTGCACTAAATTAAGTAAGCATGGAGAAGTAAACAAACATTAAATATGTGTGGGCATTCAGCATTGCAAAATCTTATATAAGAGCTGCTGCAGGCATCAAGGCACAGATATGTCTTTTTTTTATATTCTATGTTGTGGAGTCTACCTAAATTATACAATGTTTCATCGACAGCCCAGGATATGTCTGGGCTATCGATATCTAGTTCGATAATGAGTTACATTGATGCTCAATCTAAAGACCTGATTATTAGGAACCCTACACGTCAGGATTATATTTTTAAACTCTTCACCTTCGTTTTTTGTGTTCTTCTTACCTTTAACTTAAACTAGGAACACCCAACTCCGACCTTGATATTCTTGTTTTGGGCTCTCTAAGTTGCCAGACACTTCAGTTCTTTACAAAATCAAAAATTTAGCCTCAGACCCATTAACAGCCCTACCGACAACATATCGCTTTCCTAGCACAGTGTAATTGAAGTGGAACACTTCAAATGGAATAAAAAAATATTAGATTAGTAACACAATCGTAGTTTAAAGTCCGGAAGATGGTTTTTCCTCAATGTTTAAAAGGACACTTTTCAGCATTGAGATATCAAGAAAAAATATGTTGCCCCAATGTAGAAGTTATTGCCGTCGTCGAGGATCGATTTTTCATTGCTGACAATAGGGCGATCAACTCGCCATAAATTGCTCTAACCCTGTGATGTTCAACAGGGCAATTGTTTTGCGAGCCATTCAAGGATTTGGTTGAAGAAAAAGCCCAGAAAGAGACATTCGACAACTAAAAAGTGCTTCCACGAAGTTTTGTGGTAGATTCATGTTGTATACTCAATCCGCACCTGAGAAAAGAGGCGAAATGATATTTTTGGAACACAATTTAGGCAAATTTGTGTGCAAGCGTTATATATTAAATACACAATACAACATTAAAAACACACGTGATATTGTATTCTGCAGCTTCTGCAGTAAATAAAACACTAATATCAGAAGTCAAGCCTGTTCACATTTAGAATTAGACAGGTTGCAATTCCTCTTTTTAAGTGTAGTTTATACAAATGATTTGCCCACATAGCCGTGAAATCTAAGGTTAAGAAGCGCCGAAGGAGCAAACAACAAAAGTTTTAAACATTCCACAGACAAGTAATATACCATGCATTAAATTGCACGTCCGGCACGGTGCTCCTAAAACTGCAGGGGCTGTACAGAACATAAATTCAACAAATTTCTTGAGCTCAGTCGAACACGTGAACAAATCTTTAGACCGCATTCCTTGGATATCTAGCCATTGACGTCAAACGGGGACCAGATATTCTCAGCATATATTATAGCAAGCTTCACTTCAGTGATTGGTTTGTGAGATCAAACTCTACTTTTTTCAAGCGTCTGTGGTATCCACTGAGGCGGGTATATAACCCGGGATATATTTTCGATTCACCATCGATTCCACTTCGCAAAACGAGAAGTACCGACCATGTTCTCCAAGGTAAAAGATATCGCGTTCATTAACACAGATCGGCTTACTGTAAGATTCTGATCCCATGTTGACTCCCGCGTTCAAATGCCGTCCCTTATAGTCGTACCCTCGAGATAGATAGAGAGACAAAAAAAATAACTATATAAATATGTTAATTTTAAACATAAAATATCATATAAGAAAATTTCAGACCTTGTATTCAATATATAGTTTATATACGTTTCGGTATATTTACAGGACGAATAGAGTCAAAATTTCATACGATCCAGTACGGTATGACATCGAATAACAGTGCTCTTGTTTCTTCTAGCTTCTTTTGTGTTGCCTGTTCGCCTACGTTGCCTGCGGCGTTGTTGTAGAACACGTAAGTAGGCAGATTTGTTAATACTAAGGAAAGGTGTAAATTTTGTTAACAATTAGGTATACTGTGATGCAGCAACAAATTCATGACTAACAACTCTACGATATGCGGAGCTTTTATAAGTATATTTAAGTACATTATCCCCTTGACGTGACAAGGAACCGACGTATCAATCCAGTAATTTAAAGGCGAGTATCTCAAAGACAGTAATTGTTTTTTTGACATCTTCAAACTACAGTTTCTGTAGCGATACAATATTCGATAGTACAGTGTGCGACAAAATTTAGGGACTTATGATCGACCATGTTATCGCGTCGCATGTCGAGCACGTGAAGCGAAAGCTCGCTCTGCAGACCTTAGGCGTCATTTGCGAGTTTTTTTCCCTCCTCTGTACATCTTTATTTTATCTCTATGGGAATCGCAGCGCGTGAAGTCGTGATATTACTGCTGCGTGGATAACGTTAACGACACAAGGCGTGGAGTCGTAACGCACTGCCTTGATTGCATCTCTATAGCGTCGAACCAGTGTCAAAATCTCATTGGTATGACTAAAGCTGGGTCTTTCTAGTTTGATGAAGAATAACATAGTTTAAACATTGTATTACGAATGATTTAAAGTGCTCGTGGTAAGATATAGACAACTGCAAGAAGGGTATCTGGCCGCCGCCATGGCTTTGCCCGTGCCGGGAAGTACGTGCAATTACAAGCTTTCTAAAGCAACGTTCACGCTCACGCTGCACAAGCTTGGATGCATGGGGTACGAGTGAATCAGAATGCTTGCAATTGTCTCTAGGGTAGAGGAAAGTTGGAGAAAAGACAGGGATAAACAACGTAAGAAAGATATAGCAATCTGGTGAGTTGGCCGAGTTGGTGTGGATTGAAGATGGTGATAAACAGAGGACAGGAGACAAAGACACAGTAAAGGAAAGCACTCAGGACGATATACCTATTTTCTACATTAATTGTCGCTTAATTCGCATTTTCCAACATAAACAGTTATCATCTAGATTAATTATTTTTATTCCCATGAATCTCAAAAAGAAACTGAAAGATTGATATTAGTTTGAACGCGGTCTACGTTCGCCGACAGTGCAAGTCATATCAATTATTTCTGTCCCGCGTTAAGTTTGAAGAACAAAAGACATTACACCGCTGAAAAAACACCAATTTACTATATAAAAAAGTCAAAGAGGAAAATATCAACTGCCAACATATTTTAGACAAAACGCTGGTAAAAATGTGGAAAACACACTTTCTGCATCATTAATCGGATTAAAATTACGGGAGATGAAGCGATGAGATTTCGGGGTTCGTCAGAACCCTGAGCTTTGATTGGATTGATTATTGAGTAGATCAAAAGCTAGGTGCATTTGTCTCCATTGCACTCGTCAAACGCGTCAGCATGCAGAACGCCGTCGTCCGGCGCTTGGCTTTCGGATTCGAACGCGTTCGACTTGTGCAGTGGAGACAAAGGCAGCCTTTATCGCCAGTGCACTCGTCGAAGCCGTAAGAACGCGAAACACCTGCTTTAGGTGCGTTTCGTTCTCGCATTCACACGCGTTCGGCGAGCGCATTTGAGACAAAGGCAGCAAGCTGTAGGTCTTCCCACTAATCATTCGAACTAGTGCTCGGCGCTACGTGGCCGCCGCGCTCACGTCTTGTCCTCTCACTCAGTTTCTCGGAGCATTCATTGCCTTTTACGTTTCTTTTTCTTCATTCCGTAGGTCTTCTCAGGCGCAATTGTGTTCAGTAAAACGGCGGGGCTAATAATAGCAATATTAGGGGTAATGAAACAGGCAAGAGGATAAATACATCATATGATTTTGCTTATTTTGAACAAAATATTTTTTATTATATTTTGGCTCAGCTTAAATTTAAAAAAAAAGATAGCAGCTATAATATTTTGGACTATGATGAAGACAAGGCTAAAAAATACCACGAGGTCTTCAATCTGTAAGGTACTAGACACAATAATGAACAAAATAACATATAAAGTTATTTTTGAGGAAGAATTTAAGCATTCCTACAATGATATGAGTCTGGAATCGGTGAATCACTACACCCAAAACTGTGGAAAAAGTTTCAATGCGACGTAGAATTCGATAAGTTTAGCAAAAGTATGCTATAATTGTTATGCCCATTTCTCGCTTCGCAGCCACCACAACCATACAGCTTCGGCTACGATAACGTCGACGGATTCGGCACCCGCATGACCCGCCAAGAGACAGGCGATGCCTTCAACAACAAAGTCGGCTCTTACAGCTACGTCGATGCCTTTGGTGTCTCCCGTGTCGTGAAGTACGTCGCCGACGCCACCGGCTTCCATCCCACCGTCGAGACCAACGAGCCAGGCACCAAGACCTCGGTCCCAGCCGACGCTCCGTTCTTCTCTTCCGCTGTTGAGGGCCCACACCCCGCTGTTGTGGAGGCTGTTCATCCAGCCCCAATCGCCGTTCGCGCTCTCCATGCCACTCCAGTTGCTGTGCGTGCTACCCTTGGCGCCCCAGTGGTTCACGCTGCCCCTTCGACCTACGCACACCACACTCCTCTTAGCTATGCTGTTGCCAGGCCATTCTAAGTTACAAATAAATCATATCTCCTTCACCTTGTAAAATGCAAGTTTCTAAGTCCTTCTTTGATCACCTAGAACTATATGATCAATATGATCCGGTAAAGAATTATTTATTGTGTTTCTAAAGCCGTTACTGACTTTTGCAGTTATGAATCTCTTGTCCTTCGCTTGTTATTTAGGTTGACGTATTACTCTGGCGGATTCTAGAAAGTCAGCTTTGCGAACAATCACTAACTAGAATGTCCCATTATTTATTTGCTAGAATGAAAGCTACAAACAAGGTTTGGTATAACAATGCTAAAAAGCAAAAAACGACCTGAAAGAATAATTAATTAGTTCGTTTATTTATTTTTATTTCTGTGCTCATGAACATCTTGACGCCTTAATAATAATGCGCAACAAATCGATGACAGGTTAGTTAGAAATGCCAAAAAGTTGGATTAAAACTTCGATATCTGCTACGCCCAGGGTAATATACAAATGTTGAATGCGGGTCACGGACCTGGTTGGGATGATTTTGTTAACATGGAAAATCAGAGAAATTTGCAAAAATAGTATTGGAACCTAAATATTAATAGCTGATGTGAGATCAAGACAATCAATTAATTCATTAATATATTTATCGAAAAAACCTAGATCTCACCACGTAGTCTAGAAATCAAAGTAGGACGATTGCATCATTTCAAGAGTCTCGCATAACAGTACCAAAAAGTACGACCAATATAACGATAATAAAAATTCCAAAAGAAACGCTTATGAACATTTTCTATCATCTCTTCTCTCGTAAGACTAATACAATACCCCCAAAAAACAGAGAAAAGCTCCAACTTGGACCGGATTAACGAGAGGTATAATTGTAAAATACACGTTGACGTAGAGTACTTACCCGTAATTGTAGAGATGACACACAGCTAACATAAAAAAGCATTTATAAGGTAATTTAAACTATACGCATACCACAGTGTCAGCGTTACCTTCATGGCATTGACGCACACATGCACAAATAGAGTATGGCTGGAGCAGCATTAGAAATTGGGTGTTCATACAGTGAAACAAATAAAAATTAAACTCATTAAATGTTGCAGTATGATAAAATAGCGGCATGTTTATTTGCGAGCAGATAAAAAATGGAAAGAACATGGCGTCGGCGCGACCCATCCCATTTTTCAGATATTAGCTGGACCACAATGGTATGGGCACAATCTTTCCGATTAGATCTGATATCGGCGCAATACGGTGTGCTCCCTGGGCTGTAGATTCAAATCTCTTCTTTCACCTTTTGCGAGCGGAGATGATTTTTTAACTCGAAGTTGAATTGATAAACCTGATGCACGCGCCACGCGCAATTCTCGGCTCTTGTCGGACGGAGAGTTCGATCGGTATTGCAAAAACTATTCTGTAGCACATACGAATCATACGCGCCTTCGTGTGGCGATTAATTGTACTCGATGTTTGTACCGCCATAAATCAGCAACAGTTTCACCAAAGCAATGAATATGAACGGCTATGAAATCATGGGTGTATTCGACAGCATCAACATTACGCCCCTTCCACAAGGTGTGAATGAAAGGAGTAAAATTCGTCCGTACACCTTTTTACATGATTTTAGACACCATCGCTACACCTTGGGTGTAAAAAGGGCGTGTAAGGGGTGTAAGACGTCAGCACACCCTTTTTAAAACCCTTGATATTAAGAAATCGTGGAAAGAGGGTGTAAAAAGGATGTGTTTCCTAACGTACACCCTTTTTACACACTTTTTGCGCGAATATCGGTGTTACAGTGTTTAGTGTATAGGTGAGAAAAAAGAAATGCCTCTCTCTTTGTGGTTCATAGCGCCATGTAGAATTATTTTAATAATAGTTTTCGGCCGCTCATGTCCTTCATACCACTAAAACTCAATATCCGAAAAGGGAGTTATGCAGACGCTGAGAGGAAAGTATGTCGAAGGGACTGAAGAGTTCTGCACCACTTCCGGCCGCCATGACAGTGGGAGAGAGATACTTCTGGTTCTTCAGTGTTTGACTTGTGTTTGAGTGGGTGCACGAGAACTCTGCTCACTAGCGAGCAATTACGTGATTGCCATGCTCGAGAAATGCCCCTGTGCCTTGCTTGAGTGGCCGATATGCCCCGGTGCGAACGAAATGTCAGAAGTGAACGTTTTCAGGTTATCTCGAGACCAGAGAAGACACCGACGCCGCCAAGCCTGGCTCATCGTAAGATGGCAGCATTAGCGAACGGCGATAGCCTACTTCGATGTGCGGCCAATTTCAGTCACAAAAGATCAACGGAAAATATCCCCTACAAAATAAAGACATTTGTATCAGGTCGCGTGTGCCACCGGTACTGTGCGATATCTCCTTGTATGCGACCGGCCTTACGCCAAAGAGTCTTTCCACCACCGAAGTAGCAGGAGTCTACAGATATATTGAGGACTGTATGTTCCTTCTAAACAAACCATGCGAGATGATTAGCGACCAACACATCAACGACATAAGAGCCACATTTATCAAAAAATGCTCAGGGGTTAAAATTCACCAGCGAGCTGCCAACCGAAAAAAACACCCTCCAATTTCTAGACTTATAACTAATCTTGCTGAGCGACCACACATGCTGGATAGACATGCCAAGAACAAAAAAAAAAAAACTCATTTAAGTTTGAGTGCGAATTCCGAACTGACAACAAAGGCGATTGTGATTACCTGTCTCTCCGCTGCTCTCAAAACTTCGTGTGATTAATGGGGAAAGAGAGCTTTGATAGACAAGCAGAAATACCCAAGCCGTCTGGTTCTCTTTATACCATTTTATCTGGATTTGTAGAAAATATGTTTAGTTCAAAACCACAAAAAAAGAAGAAAGCAAGAGGAACAGGCACCCAGCAGTTATGTCATACATACACCGGCTATACCACATAACATAAAAAAGTTGCATTGCGATTTGACATTTCACTGGTATTTTTGCGCAGGACAAGCTGAAGAGTCTGTGCTTCAAGATCTATTCTTTGCAAAACAGTCAGGACGATTGAAAAGTGAAGCACAGGCATCAATGTATAGTAAATAAATGCCATTCACCCGCAGGAAAGTTTGTGGGACAATCTGGCCGGTGTATGAATACAAGACTGCAGGAACATGCAAAATATTTCAACTCCTCGCCGGCAGGTCATCTCGCAGTACACGTCCATGACAGCCACTGCACGCTGATTTTCAAAAAGAAAGAAGTCCTCGGACAGAGCAGTAGTAGAAGGCCAAGAAAACTTTAAGAAGTGAAGACAATCAATTCTTGTGGTGGCGTCTGTGTCTGTGCAGCTTCTCTGTTATTGTAAGATAAGGAAATATTATACCCCCACCACCCTACATGACGTGTCAGAAGGTTTCTAGTTTGGTGGATAATCATTACAAACTTCATACTTCGAAGTCGTGTTTAAATAATAGAATAAAAGAAAACATTAGGTGATTTTTAGTATAAACAGACTACACGCTAATAAGCCTAGCGCATATTTTCCGAAACTTGCTTTTATTTTCCTTAAAGTTCTGGGTCATTATGCGAAAAAGTTGGAGCAATGATTTCTGCCACAAGGTAGCATCGATCTATTAAAGGTGACTAGTGAGGAGTTTGGCGAAACCACTAGGGCAACGGGTAAAAAGAAACATTCCACAAATTAGTTGACTGTGCGTTTGCGAGAGTCACGCACAAACGTGACTCCGAGATATGTCTTTAGCAATTGTAATCTCTTTCCAGGTAGTACAAATTTCAGAGCCAAAATTTGTTTCTTGTCAGATATTGAAGCCCTAAAATACAAGGCATACACGTACTAAACTCTGCTACGTCACACCGCGGTGGTGGCGCGTTGGGCGCACTTCCGGTCTGGGGCGGTAGGCAGAAGTCGCCGTGCGTGACATGCATTCCTGTGTTCTTTTGGGAGAAACCGGACAAAACACCCGCCTTCTCGTCAAAATGCTGCGACGGGGGCTGTACCAAGATAGCCTGCAAAGGTTTGAAGATCAGTTTTCATGTGTTTCTGCTCCCTCCGTTCGTTTGAGAACGTCGGATAGTAGCCGTGAAAAGGACAAACCAAATGCTGTCGAACTACGATAGCTTGTGCGGGCAACACTTTGTGGTCGCCAGATGTATTTGTTTTGTTCCAACATGAACGAGGGCGAACCGCCAAGTTGTTCGGACCACCCGCGGGTTCAGTGCGTCTTCAAATTCACACGGCCGCCTGATCGTTCGAACTTTCGTCCGCTCTTTCAAACATGTCTGGTTTTGGTCGTCTGCTCGTTCAAACAAACGCCACCCATAGATCAAACTTTCACCCGGTGATTGCGATAAAAAGTAATTGCAGCTCTCAAAAGACTTAAGAAGGCTCTGTGTATACAGTAGGTACAAGATGTTGATCATTGGTACCAGTTGCCATCACCAACTTGTTACGCCCGATTCACTTGGTCTGCTCCCGCTTCCAATTTTCAGTATCGACGTCGGTAATCGCCGCTACCTTCTGCACCTTTGTAGCACGAGCAGCGTGGCGACCGAAAATAGCTAGAAGAATCTCATGATGGTTCTGGCGTCCATTCTGTGGCGTTCAAGCGAATGAATCGCCGCACGTCAAATAATTACGCAAAGTTTAGCGGCGTAACGAGCCTTGATAATTTCGCTCAGGCGATTAAAGCGGTTAGTAATTGCTATGAGGACGTAGAATCAACAATTACAACGTGAAAAAGAGTATGTGAAGACTCCCACAGACGCCGAAAACGTGACATTCCAATGGTTTGTTGACGCGGGACGCGGTGCTTCTTGCACGTACTCCATTGTTCATGCCTTCGAACTGTCGTCTGCTCTTTTAAACTTGTTTACTCTTTGTCGACAGCTTGTTCAAAGGACAGCGGCCCATAAACCAAACGTTGACCCGGTGATTGCCATAAGAAGTAAGTGCTGGCCTCAAAACACTTTTAAAGGTTGGTTGGGGTAAGCAGCGTAAGTGTAAACAGTAGATAGAAGAAGATGTTGATCATTCTTACCAGTGGCCATCACCGACTTGTAATGCCCG